CTCTCTTTTCATATTTCTAACTTCAATCCTTAAAAGCACTTCTGAATAAACTTTAATTTTACTCAAACTGGAAACGTTTTTCGAAATTTCCTAACCCTAATATTTCACTCTTATGTGAAGGTGAAAGTTCAACAAAATTTACAGCGAGTACAGCGAGTTCCATGAGAGGGAAAAACAAAGAAAACATGGAAAAGTCACGCTTCTTATAGAACCACTTATAGTACTGCGACATGCCGATGCCCGCAAGGAGATGCAATGTAACACGACCAACTTTTGAGGGCTGGCTTTAGAACACTCGCTTAAGCAAGAGAGACCGAGACCTATCTTCTGGTTTTTCTTTTTCATTCGGCTATCTGATCAACTAACTAAGGTTAGTGTCTTGCCCACTTTCAGGATTCTCTTTCATTCAAGAGCTACGATATTGTCATGCGCATTTTCAGCATTGTCTTCGATTGGATTGCTACTTTAGCATCTTTCACACTTTTAGGCTGCTCTTATTATCGATTGCTATATTTTTATCACGGGCCATTTAAGTTAAGAAATTGTTGATGCTTAACGTGCGTATATCGAGTTATGGATGCACGCGGGAAGTTTGGAGAGCAAGAAAAATGCGGAAGGGTAGCTCGAGGCGCAGCCGAGAGCAACTCTGGCTTTTTGAGTGCTAGAGTGCTCTTTTTTGAGTGCCCTTCAAACTTCCCAAGTGCATCCATAACTCGATATACGCCCAGCTTAAAGCATGAGCAAATTCTTTTATAACAGAGCGACAACAAGGATCTGCGCGAAGAAGCCTTTTATTGGGAAGTTCTTCGCTGGTTTCTTCGCTGGTTTCTTCCATATTTCAAAGAGAAGGAAAACTGCACTGCAGTTTAACAGGACGGAAAGCCAGGTAGAAAAAAATTGATCACGTCATCTTATTTACGCACGGGCGTGCGTAAATAAAGATTTTGTTCATAGCGGCTTAACAGGAATTGTAGAGTGCAAGCACGCGCGCTATCTTATAATTTCTCTTTCTTTCAATTGTGTTGGTTGGTATCTCGCAGACTAAAAGCTTTTCTTTCAATCGATTACTACCCAGGTATCCTGGACACTTTTAGGATTCTCTTTTTTTCGGATTGTTACGTTGGTACCATACGCGCTTTTAGAATTCCATTTTGTAGATTATTACGTTAGTACCTCGCGCGCTTTTAGAATTCCATTTTGTAGATTATTACGTTAGTACCTCGCGCACTTAAAGAATTCTAATTCGTTAGATTGTTACGTTAGTACCTCGCACGCTTTTTTGTAGATTATTGCGTTAGAATTCCATTTTGTAAATTATTACGTTAGTACCTCGCACGCTTTTAGAATTCCATTTTGTAGATTATTACGTGAGTACCTCGCGCACTTTAAGAATTCTCATTCGTTAGATTGTTACGTTAGTACCTCGCACGCTTTTAGAATTCCATTTTGTAGATTATTACGTGAGTACTTCGCGCGCTTTTAGAATTCCATTTTGTAGATTATTACGTTAGTACCTCGCGCACTTTAAGAATTATCCTTCATCGGACTGTTACGTTAGTATCTCGCTCACCTTAAGAATTCTCTTTTATTGGATTTTGTCACAGCACCTCGTGCACTTTTTAGGATTTTCTTTCATTTAATTTTAACGTTAATATCTTGCACACTTTTAGGATTTTCTTTCATCGGATTGTTATGTTAGTATCTCGCACTCTTTAAAGATTCTTTATCATTTGATTGTTGCATTTGTATCTTGTGCCGTTTAAGGATTCCCTTTCATTCACTACTGCTTCGTGCCCTTTTGCACTTTTGATTGTTTGGTTCGTGTTTTGCCCACTTTCGGGATATTCCTTCTTTGGAAAGTTACGTTAGTGTCTCGCGCATTTTTAGGATTTTCTTAGATTGGATTGTTATGTTAGTAGCTAATTTTTTAGCTTCTATCTCTGTTTTCTCTTTAAGTTTCTCTTTCAGTTGATTGTTACTTCGGTATCTCAGGCAGTTTTAGGATGTTCTTTGATTACATTGTTACGACAGCATCTCCGCGCATTACCTATCTCGTAACTGTCTCGCGCAGTCTTAGGACCGCCTTATATTCGATTGTTACGTTAGTCTCTCCTGTAGCTTAGTATGCTAGTGTTTTCATCCATTGTTTCGTTAGTATCTAGTGCCGTTCTATTTCTAGTCTTTTGTGCCCTCTTAGGATTTTAATCAAAGATCACAGATCAGGATTTGGTCACAAAAGTGAAAAATTTAGTCGCATTGGCGCCTGTATTGGGCGCAATTTCACGCCCTGATTATGCGATTTTTTGTTGAGGACAATTGACAAAACAGAATTTATGTGAAGACGGTTCTTATCTTATCTTATCTTATCTTATCGACGGAAAGCAGTTTTCACATCTTAAAAAGAAAAGCAACTTACGCTTCCACGTCCTCGAACAATCCAAGTTTACCCGGAAATATTTCAGACGTACATGAGTACAATTACATATTCCAGGCCCGCCTTGCTGAATCGTTCTTCTAACTTCTGCAATAAAATTAAAAGATGAAAGGATTCATGAAATCTGCTTTATGAACTCTTGGGAAAAGATGATAACATGAATAATAACCGTCACGAGCAAAATACCCCTGAACTAGGGGTGTCCCCTCAATGACGGCATCGAATACAAGGGTTTTAATCAAAGTTTGTGTCCCTCAAGTAGAGAAAACGTTTAAATAAGGATGCCCAAAAAATAGAGATTCTTCTGCATAGACGAAAATATTCCACACATTACATCGTAAGAAAACTGGAGAATTTAAATTTAAATTTGCAGCCTTCCCCAAAGTTAATTGCATCAGAAAAACTTATATTTAGATGCGAGAATGACTTGATTTTGTCCAGAGAGAGTCTGAGTCATGTCTTAAAGTGCATTTCGATAGTGTGCCGTAATACCAAAAACATAGTAGTCACCAGCAGATGTCCAATCACTACGTTGGAAAATATAATCAAAACCAGATGGGAACTAAAATTAAAAGGTACAGTGAGAGCAACATTATTGACCGAGTCACGATTGGTATTTGCCTTGCACCTGATTGGTTGAGAGGGTAGCTTGGATTGTTCACGTCAGTCAACCCATGACATGGCGAACTGTTAGCCGATTACTTTCAACGCACAACTGAAGGTTTAATTTTGAATCACACAAAGTAGAACTCCGTTCAAAAAGTATATTTACTCATAAAATTTTCACATTTTAGCTGCATGCAATACCTCTAGCACCTTTAGACTTCCTTGCCTTCCTCAGTAATGTACTTAGAATGAGTCCAAATTTCTTAGCTCTTGATGCTGTAGTTATGGCGTCTTTCCTCGCTTGAAACATGGCATCAATATCGTAATATTCCCTGGAAAACACTTTGCTATAGGGATCGTTTCTGCGATGAAAGCGAAAGTGCAGTAGAATTTTAGTTCAAAGTTGTGTGTCTCAAAGGCCCAGAAAGGTATACAATATCTAACAATCCAAAGCGTACAAGGCGGTAGGGGGTCCTGTTTTAGTGAGGGCATAGGAAAAACACTGGAAAAGACGGGCATCGCACTCTGTCTACACAGACAGTATGCCTTTACTAGAGACAAACAATTTTTAATCGAAAAAGTGATGAATTTTTATTCACAGAATTACACGAAAGAGATCTGAAAAATCAGGCTTCAATGATGGCTCAATCTGTGCTGCCTGAAATAATATGAAGCTACATGTTATGCAAGGCAAGGCTATTTGGTACACGTAAAGAAATCTGCCTTTTGAGGTTCTCTACGTGTACATGTATGCTGGTGTAGATGGGTTAGCAATCATGACAGCCTCTAGATGGAACCTTCCATCACCTAAGTAACTAAAAAAAAAGTTTAAGTTTAAAGATCATTCCAGTGAAAAAATTGAAACAAGTACCTGCTGTGGTCGGTGGCATGTGCCTAAATGATAGCTGCTGCTTATAATCAAAATGGTAAATACAGTGACAAAACAAGCATTTAATTAGGAATAATTGCAATAATAACACATTAATCAAAAACATAACACCCACTTATCTGTTTCCTAATTTAGTTTTTGATAACACTTTTACTCAATTTCCACCCAATTAAATGATTAACCCTTTCACTCCTATGAGTGACCAAGAGAGAATTTCTCCTTACAATATCAATACAATATCAAAACAGACAAGTGATGAACTAAAGGAAAATATCAATTAAAGGGTAGTTGTAGTTCATCCAGTACCAAATTCTCCACACTAACATCAAAATAATTGTATTATTATTATTTATTTATAAGCAAATAGCTTCAGATCTAATGGTGCAAATTTTTAATGAAACTAAACCACTACAGTACTTACAACTAGATTTGCCAATACAAATAATAAGAAAGTTTTTCAAAAGAATATTCAATTTGTTTAAGAGTACTCGCTATGAAAGAGTTGGTGCAGTTTTCTTAAATTCATAATGAACTAAATTACATATTAATTATTTTCTTGTTTTGCTTATTAATTTTCTTACATGAATGCATCCTTGTGTTTTATTCTAGGAACAGTGCAGCCCAGAATCTCTCCAGGTGACAATGGTTTACACTGCAGAATCTCTACCTGATAATCTTTACACAGGTCTTGATATACAGCCTGGGTAAACAACAAATTAAATACATATATGTAAAAATTATTTGAAAGTATGAACACAATAAAAGGAGACACTGGGTCCAAACCACAGGGTTTAAGTCTCAGCCAAGTCAGTGTTGCATTCTCTCTCCCCTCTCTCTAGCTTGGAGAGAAATGGGTACCAGTGAGTTGTCATGGAAACTTGACAAAATGCCTGATGCCTGAGAACCATGTGAGATGCTCCTCCCATCCAGAAGAAGCAGTCAGTCGACCGACTGTCGACCGACTGTCAACCAATATATTGGTTAAGTATCGACCAACTCTCAACCAATATATTCAGTCGAGAGTACTGTACCTACAATAAACATGATCCCGATACTGTCCCATCAGTGTAATCATTTAATACATACTTGAAGTGTTGTCACAAACTGGATTGTGCTCAAAAGTGCAAGTGACTTTCCGGCTTCAAAATTGTGTCTGACTGTGTTGACAAAATGTGTGGCATCTAGCTTTATGTCCACAAATACATACAGCTATTTCAATTTAATTGTCGGATCAAAGCTTCAAGGGTACGGACAAGACCGAAGGCGGTATGGGTAGATTAGAATTAATTTTAGGCTTTTGGGGTTGTTGGCACGAGATGGACATGGAGGCTGAAAATACAATTAGTATTGCCTTGTGTGTCTTAACAAAGAGCAACAAGAACAGATATGACTCCTATTGCTTTAGGCTTGAGGCTTTTGATCCACAAAAATTGAAATAGCTGTATAACATCTTGATTCCTTTAGTTGAGTCAATAGGAACTATAAAACAATGAACAAATAATGAACATTTTCACATTATCTTACCTACAGTACTGTATATATGGTTACTAATTGTTTAGGGTCTTTCAATTTTGCATCAATAGAAGAGACCAAAAGTTGCAAATATAATGAGTCGAATTTCATGAGGGATATCTTGTACCAAAACAACTTAGTCTAATAAAGTGTCATTTTCAGTCTTCATAACCATATTTGATAAAAAGAAAGTGCTAACTTGCAACCAACTATCTTCATGGTCATTGTAGTAGTAATAAGCTTTATTTGAACTTGCTTATTTTTTAGCACACCAGTGCTAGTTTGAGTAAATATATACATAAATAAGTCACAATTAAAAAAAATTTAAAAAAAAAAGAAAAAATTGATTCATCACCTCATGGTTTTATTATGAACCAAAATAATGACCAGCTCCCTATTGGTTTGATAGCTCAGTAATGGTAGAGCACTGCATTGGTATCGCAGAGGTCATGGGTTCGAATCCAGCTCAGGCTTGAATTTTTTTCATACATTCATAGCCACTGATTGCAACACTATTGTTTGCATCAAAATACCATGCTACTGACATTAAACTGTTGTGTTGCTCAAGCATCAAAGTTATAAAGCAAGGATTCCTCAAAAAAAAAAATCATTCAAAACTTAGACATATCTACCAGCAGAGAACAGATAGCAAGGGCAATAAAAAAACACAGGGCAACTTGAGAGAACTATGAAGTAGAAGGTGAGACAAAGGGGACTTCAAAAGGTGAAACTGGGAGGTTAGAAGAAAAGATCAAGGCTGAAAGGATTCAGTTGTGGTATAATATGAGTTTACATTATGATGAAGAAGATTAAGTGATGTCTATCAACATTTTTTTTCTTTACTCAAGCAGCTGTAGCCATAATGAACCATAAGATCACAACCAAGAGCCCTCGCAGGAAGTCATCAACACAGCAAGCACCATATGTGACATCCCCATGATGACTGTATCACAACCTATGAATCTAACACAAAAGTCCCACTGAGTACAATGGCAGTCACCCAGTGCTGAAAACCTGAGCCACTTTCTGTATGAATTTTTTTGAGGTGATGGGCAAAAAAAGTATGCATGTGCAGATTATCTTACAGTTGTAATCCTTCAGAATCCATCATAGATCATATAATTATTATATGATAATAATAAATTAATAAAGGGGTAAGTTTGTAAAGAAACTGTGGTGCTGAATTGGTGGTGGAGTATAACAGGATAATTTAGTATTATCAACTGAGTTAATAGTGTAAATTGGCCACCATGAAGAGTTTCAAAGCTGAAGTTTCAAGTGTTAGTCCTTTGCTCTGACAAAGGGCTAACACTCAAAATGTCAGCTTTGAAATTATATGATAAGCTGAATTATGCACACATTTTGAATGGTTTTTACTTAATATGCGCTATTGTGGGACAGATGCATACAATTTAGTTGATGTCACTATTGACAACATTTTGCTTTATTACCACATAACAAATAGATTAGACTGTATTGCTGTGGGTTTGTACAGTAATAGATTGCGGAAGACGTCAAAATGCAGTAAGACCATCAGTGACACACTGTCGCTGAACAGATACACGGCAATATGGAATCTTTTCGTTAATTGACAAATGCCTGGCATACTTAAGCAAGCTGTCAGTAGGTAAACAGCTGGCTTGCAGTCCATTCAAAGTGATATAATTATCAATTGCTACTTTTTACAATCCTTCCAACATATGAAATGTACCAAATAATTTATGTGTACAAATAACAAACATAAGAAAAGTTTGGTAGGAATTGGTTTGAAATACCTTTCTAAAATGTCTGCTGTCCTTCAAGAAACTGTAATGCCACGGATGATTGGACAAAAAAAAAACAGAACATGAAACTGACATTGATTTATGCCTATTGTGGTTGAAGATGACATCATATTTTTTTCATTTTTTACATGGCAACATTTGAAGGCCAAGGTCTGCATACAAGATCAAATGACAGAGGGACTAAAGCTTATCATGATTTCTATAGCATGTATTGATAAGGAGAACTGCATTTCCACCTCACCCTTTCTTTTGTACTCATGGAAGATGCCATTATGCTGCAGCATAATGGTTAGTGCGCTGGACTCTGGCTGGAGAGGTCTGGGTTTGAGACCTGGCCAGGTCATTCTGTTGTGTTCTTCAACAAAACACTTCATTCTCACAATGCGTCTCTCTACCCAGGAGTATGAATGGATACTGGCCAATTGTCAGGGAAGTCTGATAAAATGCTTGGGAGTAACCTAGTGATGGACCAGCATTCCATCTGGGGGGAGTTGTAATACTCCTTGTTGCTTCATGCTATGAAAACCCAGATAAGCTCCTCTTGAATCAGGGCCACTTGGCTAGAGTAACGACTTCATCTTTTTTTCTTTGCACTCAGGTGGAGAAAGGCATTATAAGGTGGAGTCAAGTGTGTTGCATAAGAACAAGACACAAACAAAAATTAACAACTAATGTGGGCTTATTTACCTCTTTCAGCATTTATTTCTTAACTCCTCCACACTGACTTGAAGATTTCAAAATTGTAGTTAGGAGGTAACTGTTGTAAAAGGAATAATTATCTCGGTTAGAAAGTAATATTTACCCTGATCTCTATTGGTGCAAAATCTGATATATAGAAAATGAATTGTAGCTAGTTGGTTAAACTGTTGTGACCTGTTTTTGATGATGACCATTCCAGACAAATAACAGTTATCTAGAACACACTCTTTGTAAATGCCTCACATTTCAAATACATGTAAAAAAAAAAGTTGCAAAAAAAAAAAAGGTTTGGACAAGGATGGTTAATTTAGTACACAGACTGCAAAATTAAAATAAACTTGAAAAATAAGATCTGATTCTTAAATAACAATCCTACAGGCCTCAGTGACATCATGACATGCTGAAAAGGATTCAAGTTTGTGGAGAGCAACTTACAATACATTTCTACTTAAAGAAGTCACATTTTAATTTCTTTCCACACTCAGTCTGCTGACTGAAAATCCCAATGATGAACCTAGTTGGATTTTATAAAACTAAATCAGTTGAAAGGGGCTTGAAAGTAATTAACTTACTTTTTCAACCCTTTGACTCCCAAGATCTTATTAGTAATTCTCCTTACTGTCTGCCCAACAATTCTTTTGATGTCAGTTCTGAGAAGTTGGGTATTGGATCAGCTATTAATCCCCTAATTGATATTTTTCTTCATTCTCATCACTTGTCTGCTTGATATTGTACTGATATTGTAAGGAGAAATTCTTTCCTGGTCACCTATGGGGTTAAAGGGTCAAGTGAACCGAGGGTCATGTGAAGTTTCTCATTATTTACCTGTCTCACAGCATCTTGCAGCTCAAGATTGTTGACAATCTCATCTGGAATCTGACGAACAACTCTTCTCTTATTTGCTCCTATTTCTTGAATAACAGGGAATGTAAGGCATTTCAATAACAGTGACTATTTTTTTTTTTAATCCTTTGACAATATTTGCTCAAGGAACAGAAAGTTTGATCGGAATATTTTCAGCAAGATTTCCGTACAGTCCCATACATTTGTAAAACAAAGGTAATCTATTGTTTTCGCCATCGTTTTCTTTCAGTTATCCAAGATATGTATGCATAATGAAGAATGGAGCTGAGCGGAAATCTTACCATATCATCCCCCAGGGATCAGAGACTTAGGCATGTATACTGGGTCCAGGGCTGGGGATTTCGACTAGTATATCAAATTATAAGTAACAGTGCAAGGTTACAGATAAGGAAATTAAAACAAAACAAACCAAAACAAGCAAAAAAAAAACAACTCAGTTTTCATCCATTTATTGGGCTTAGGATACATATTAATGTACGACATGAACGTAAAAATTATATCGTGTGCATCTAGAGGAAAGGAATACGACAAAAAAAGGAAGAGAAAGGAAGAAAATGCGTTAAAAATGGGTTTGAGAGTGGGAACGATTACAATTCTGTTCCCTCTACGTAAACGTGTGCACGTGCATAGTGAATTACAAGCCGATATCAACTACATTGTACCTACGAGTTTTTCAGTCGTCTTTCCAGCATTAGACTTAGTTCCCACAAATCTCCTTCTTATGTTATTCTCGGCAGAAACTCGCGTATAACTCGCTTTGTCCTCTAACGCGCAGCCTTCTGATGCCTCGGCCATGTTTGGTAGGTAAACCATGTTTCACCGCATATGAGGGATTTACGGCTGTGACTAAAAGCGGGACTGAGACGTGGGGACTGGGACTCGGGGACGTGGGACTCGGGGACGTGGACTCGGGGACGTGGGACTCGGGGACGTGGGACTCGGGGACGAAACAAACCTGATTTTTGCGCTGAATTTGTAAAGTATAATTTTCGGTGGTCTCGAGAAAAGAGTAATATGCTGGAGAGCTTGTCTGTAGTAGCCGATGATTTCCAGCGTCCATGGTTCGGCTGGATTTGTTTGCTTGCCTGTTTGACCGTGAGAACTCTGGGTACAGAATAATTTCAACGCAGGGGGTTTTAAACATCGTGAGCAGCCATGGAGGACTTTCTTGGTAAGTAACTGTGTTTTCTTCCTTATTATTTTTTAGCAAGGATAAGGCACGGATTGAGAAGAAAACACAGTTACTTGCCAGGAAAGTCCTCCATAGCAAGCCTGACGTTCCCTGTTAAAAGGAATGAAATAAGTTATTTTTACATGTTCAATTTCATCAGTGGTTATAAAAGAGTGATGTACAAATCCGAAATTCATTCGCTAGAGTTGGAACACTCACATCGTTTGAGGAAATGCTGATTCGCTCTCCATATCTCCCTCTCATTAATTCTCCCTTATTTTTTTCTCAGAGGGCACAGTAACATATCCTTCAATCTGATTGGTTCTTTGCGCGGTCCGTATCCGTTTTTCCTGACAGGCAGTATTTCTAAGCAAAGACGTCGGTCACTAACTCAAACCTATTACTAACTTATGAATCCTCTCTTTTCTCTCTCTCAAATCACCTTGGTTGACAGAAAAATATTGGTTTCGAAATTAATTTGTATGAGCTAAAGTGCCATTAAATTGGTTGATAAGCGGCCTAAAACCTGCCTGTAATTAATTTCAATCCTTCACAAAAAATACTTAGAAAGTTAAAACGTGAGGTATTTGGTCAAAATTGAATTAATGGATGGAACCTTCATTCATTTAATATCCAACTTCTCTCAAACAATTTGTTCGTTGTAAAAGGACGAGCGAAGTTTTCAGTTCTACAACAAATATACGCATTAAATCCCCTTGTGTCTCGTTGAAGTGTCTCATTCGAATTTAGATTTTGTGTGAAGGAAAGACCAGATTTACACACGCCATTGCAGCAAACAAACGAGCAAACTCTTACAACTTCAAAATAGAAAATTCGAATTTACTTGCAATTATTTTCCTCGCCATTTACTTCATGAGCAGCAGTAAATCTTCGCACATGAATTAATCGTCGACGAGAGTGAATAATACTTTCCGTCAGATCATTGACTGTTTTTGAAGAAAACATTGTCGTGACAGTCCTTGCTAAACTAGTTTGGTTGTTTTTTCAAAAGTGTACATGCCCTTTTTTTTTCTTACGCGCTCTTCAATTAACTTGTGTCAGATTGTGACAGATACTTGTAAAAATGTTTCAAAGTTTGTTAGGAAGCCTTTTAAATCACCCTTATCTTATTCATTACGTACATGGAAATGTTTTGATGCAGCATCTCGCTTTAATTTGCATCACCTCTATTTTAACTATCATTTACCCGCTCAAATATTGCTCAGTTTATGGAGGATCCTGCTGTAATTACAGCCCTAAATCATTCAGGATGTTTTGGAAGGAATTTAGTTCAGTTTAAGGAAAAAAAAAAAACGATATTATTCACCAGTCTAAGTCAGTCCGTATTGGGAAAAACTGTGCCTACTGTCTTGAGTACCGCCCGAGACCGTGAGCTGGCAAATAACATATATTTATTTGATGCTACTTCAGCAACACCGAAACCGACTTAAACTGATTTGCACCATAAACTCCAGTGTCTCCGCGGACTCATTGTAGTTGTAGAAAACATAGTAATTTCTTTTGCCATCGAGTATGATCATGTTGGAATACATGTAATACATACTACTACTCTTTGTGGAAGCCACAAACAGCGCTAAAATACACAACTGAACAACAGCCATTTTCCTCATCAAAGATGGGCCTCGCCTTCACTGAGAAACAGCAGCCTTGAATGACCGCGTATTTTCGTAATTTGCCGTTTTAGAGCTTTTTTTCTAATTACTTACGTTGTCAATATCTTTCAGTGGTATATTTTGTATTTTTTGGCTTCAAAACAAGCTAAGTGCAAAAACAGAGAACAGGAAGCAGCAACTAGAGGAAAAAAAAGATATGCGAAGAGAATATTCAAGTGGAAAGTTTTCAGTGATAACAGGATGGGGAACCAAGGAAACCAGTTGTTTATTTCCTTTTTACGGTGAATCTGAATAGGTCAGAATTGAATCATGCAAAAGCTGGAAAATTTGGTAACTTGAACAGATAAGCACGGATATCTTAACCACTATTCCGATAAAGAGAAGTGATAAACTGCAAGCGAATGAAGTTAAAGAAGGGTACAAAATACATAGGTAAAAAAGTGACATCTTAACCAGCTGAAAATTAGCCAGTGATATCTGAGAAACTTCCAAAAAGCAAAATCTATCTAAATTTAGGCAATTGGTCGGTAATTTTGGTAATTAATCAATTACCTTCGCTTTCAACCAATATTTACACAAAGTTTCCCCAATTTGAATACATATGTACTTGACTTAACGTTTAAGTATGTCAGTTGTCAATATATCTGATGACTCTTAAGTTCAGGAAATTTAATCAAGCCACGTCACTGTTTGTTTATCTTGGAAAATGTAGCCACACTTTGAAAGTTTCTCATTTTGCAATCAGTGTCACCGAGTTCTTTCGATGATATCACCCCTGCGTTAATTTCAAAATCGACTTGATTAACTCGGCATTTTTACGAGGGACTAGCGTTTGCTCAGGGCACAGCAAAAGGGCAACTAAACGTCATTTTTGAAAAATAAATTAATTACCCTGCCTTCGAGACCTAGGCAGCATGATTTTTGTTTTCGTTCAGCCGCAACGAACAAACGGTTTCTTCAGTTTTGTAATGTAGCGAAGGCAGTAACAAAAAAAATTGTTTTGTTACTGCCTTGAATTGTGAGTTTTGATTTGAGATTACTGTCAACAAGATCTGGTCAAATTTCAAACTTCCACTTCATTTACTCTTTGTTTAGAGAAAATATTGAAATTAAATTTGCTGGGAAAAAAACAAACTTTTAAAACTTTCTTCAATACTTTATAAGCTTTTCAGTGATATACAGTTTTCAAGTGTTTCTTTGAAAGTAGGGCGCGTAGAACAAAATGTTTTTTTCCAGAATTTTTCCTTGTTTCCTTACATTTCGATGTTTTCTGCGCATTTTGTTGCATATTGGTCGTCTTTACTTGAATTCCCTCGACTAGGCCACACAGTTCATGGTCATCAAGGCAGGCAAAAGAGTGCTAGTTCCTCTTTTTCCTCCTTCTTGTTCCTCCCTGGGGAAGGGATGGAAGTCAAACCCTAGATCAAAAATTGGCACATACTTCTCCAATTCCAATATTTATCACTTACACTTGAGATTACTGTGCGAGTATTGGGAAAACTTTGGGTTTGAAATGTTTTCAAATTGCGCCGGCAAACATTAAAAGTGTGACGTCCAAACAAGCTGTGTTTACATACCCTCATCTAAACTAACTAGTTGGCCTATTGAGAGCATGCGAACTATCTCAATTATTTTATAACCATCATTAGTTATAAAAGTGTGACTTGCAAAACCGAATTACAGTCACTCGGTTTTTTTTTAGTAGTTTTGGCTTCGATCATGCAAATCACACCCGCTAGAAAATGAAAAGTTCACGAAGACAACGAGTCCATTATCACGCAAAGATAGCTTAGCGTTAAAAAGAAGACTTAGGTTGTACTGTGATTGATCTTGTGATGAAAATCAAACCTCTCAAAGGGCTAAACACTGAAGCCTGACATTTCCTGTTGGAAAAAGAATAACACTTTTCATTTTCCATGTTCAATTACATCATGACTGATAAAAGTGTGACGTACAAAACCGAAATACTGTGTACTTGATGATTGATTAGTGGTAAAAGGGACGCAAACCGAGGTCCTTTCTTCATGACCCCTAAATATTTTTTTCCCCACTGGTCCCATCAAATTCTGTCAATAAGCATTTTATCATATGACCACTAACTGTTAAAAATTTTTAACCTAAATGGGACGCGATAGACGGGCATACAGGCACAAAAAAATATGCAATTTAAAACTTTTCCTTTTATTTTCGATTAGCCCCGAGGGGAAGGGAATATCCTGAACACACGTGATCTGGATGCATTAAACACTGTGACAGCGGAAGTTCGGAAGGTTGGGAAAAGTAATTCGTTATTTTTGTTGTTTCATTTTGAAAGCATCAGCCACATTGTCAACATCTTGGTAAGTGCGATTGAAAATCTTTTCTAGTCACTCGGTTTTTATCAGACTTAGTCATTTAGTAACTGTAGAGAGGTAAGGCTCTTATGGCAAAGCCCAGTACCTACTTTATCCCTTTATTATTTACTTTATCCAGTACCTGATCTTTATGTTTGCAATATGTTACATTTCGAGTGTTAGCCCTTCGTTAAAGCGGTTGATGGCGCGATTGAATCGTCACCACAGTGAAATAAATTGATTTTACGGCGACTTTTTTAAATCTCTGTGGCTTTATACCGTATCATTTATCCTCATTAACTAAAACAAGGTTATTGAGTATCGTTCAATTTGAGAAATTGATGATCATAAAACTAGACTGTCCCACGCTGACATCATAGGAAATCCGTAGTGCTTCATTACGTGGTTTTCCAGAGGCTATGATCTGCACTGGCTATTAACTTGACACTTTTTTAGGAGGGTTTAACGATCGATTTAGAGATCGCGGTAGATTCCAATTGAATTTCCGTTTTCTACTTGTACACAAACGTTTCATGGTCGAGAAACCATTCACTTAAATTTTAAGATACTAGCGGGGGGTTCTACGGTACATATTTTTCTAAACGCCGTAAT